TGGCTGTTCGGTTGCGGGCCTGCCATTACCAAACCAGTGGGCGGCTCCAACGGCGGTGACGATGCCGCCGCGGTGCCGCCGACGCCGAAGAAGCCCAAGACGAGGGTCGCAGGGAAGACCGAGCCTGCGGTGATTGCAGCGAGGGATGAGGACGCCGCGGTGGAGACCGCGGCCGAGAAGGTGGAGGTGGTCGTCGAGGACGAGAACGACGAGAACGATGAGAAGGAGCAGCACGCGAAGCCGATCTCTCTCCTCGATGTGGGCCTTGACTTCCTGGTGTGCCCGTCCTCCCAGATGTCAGCTGGTAGGCCCGGTGGCGGAGTGAAGCTCTACTTCGACAGGACGCGTGATGCATGCGGGTCCATGGAGGAGAAGCTCAAGCTTCATTTCGCAGGCAGGGTGGTGATATACCCTGGCGCCTTCGTTGGAGATGGAGCTCGCGTCGCAGCAGGCCGCGTGCACATTGAGCAGCAGGAGCTCAACATCTTCATCGTGCCGAACGCTAACTTCAAGGACCCCCGCAGCACCATCAGCGTCCCCGCCTGGAGCGTGCCAGTCGTGGCGGACAAGGCGCATGAGGAGGACACCATGACCATGAAGGTGGGCACGTACACGCAGGTGATCAAGGACGTGCCTGGGGTGGACGGCGGCGCCGTGATGCTGGACCGCAGCTTCTCGATGATCAGGCCGAGGGCGGAGCTCTTGGCGATTCAGCAGCGGAAGAGCGAGGAGGGGGCCCCGGCGGCGGCTGCGGGCACCGACGGGGAGTTCGCCCCGCTCGAGCTGGAGCCCCTGACCAGGCCAAAGTTCCCGTGGGAGTTCAAGGCCGTGGTCCAGGAGGACGAGAAGGCCCGCAAGGCGCTTGGCAAGGTGGGCCAACCAATGTCAAATGCAACGGGAGAAAGTATCGTGGAAGGACGAGGGGAGGGAGGGAGGGAGTGAGGAGAAGGATGAGGGTGAGAAGAAGGATGAGGGATGAGTGGAAAGAGGAGGAGGAGGAGGAGGAGGAGGAGGAGGAGGAGGAGGAGGAGGAGGTGGAGGAGGGAGGGAGGGAGGGAGGAGACACCAGGATGGAGAGAGAAGGAAGAGGGGATGGAAGCCCTCCATTACCTCATCCTCCTCCCCTCCATCCACTCTATGCCTCCAGCCCTCCGCCCATCCTCCTCCTTCATCCACTCGATGCCTCCGTCGTCCCTTCCCCTCCTCCTTCAGCCCTCCACCTCGCCACGCCCTTCCCCCATCCTCCCTGTTTCTATCCTGCATCTCTCCCCGCTCTTCGTTCCTGCCTCCAGCCTCCCTCCTTCCCTCCGCCTCCTGGGGGAACCGAAAAGCAGATGCCGATGCCGCAACTCCGCGGACCTTTCCAGTGGTGCGTTCTGATGAGATTTCGAAGCGAATCCAGCCGAAACCACGAGGGACAAGTAGCGGCATCGGTATCTGTTCCTCTTCTGATCGATGATCCTCAGAACGTGCGTCAGCACCGACGTGTGTTTGTCCACTGAGGCACTCCAACACGATGCGGGCGGTTAAATATCGGCGGAGCCGAACGGGGTAGACACACGTTTGGGCTAACACACGCCCTGAGGATAATCGATCTGGCCTCCGCACCTTCCCCCCCACCGCCCCATAGGCCATGAGGCACATCCTCGCGTGAGGGCTGCGAGGACGCCTCCTGGGGGCCTGCCTGGCGGCCTGCCTGGCGGCCTGCCTCTGGGCCCGGTGCCTGCGCGGGGATGCGCGGGCGCCTCGGGCAGGGACCGCCCGCTGGCGAGCCAGAACAACCCGTGGCCGAGCGTCGGCCCTCTCGATCCAGGAAAGGAGCAGCGCAAGAGGACAGGGGAGCAGAGGTGGATAGTAGGTGCGAGGGAAAACAGCGACGGATGATCAGGAGTACGACTAGGATGAGCAGGAGAAGGAGGATGAGGGCTAGGCTACGCATGCGTTGCATATCTAATGGCCTTCGGAACAACCCGCCACCGATCTTGGTTCGGGAATCTCATGGGGGCCTGAGTTGTTGTATTGGGCCCTGTTGAGCCTCCTGGAAGGCTCTTCGGGGCATGGGGACAAGGGTGAGGGCCCTTAGGCCCTTGGGCTCTTGGAGGTTTCTTGGGTCCTCGTGATGCATCTTGTTGTGCATCTGTGTTTCGAAATCCGAATCGGGAGCTCGCGGCACGTTGTCACTTGGCCTCTTTGGATTGCTGATGGGGCCAGTCGCAATTTGCCGCCGCGGTGAGCGCCCAGATGCTTAGAGGCGCCCGTGGGGGTCTCGAGCGCTGCCCCCCCACGGGCCTCGATTTTGCTCAAAACTGACGATAGCCCGATTCCCAGCGGAGCGCTACCGGAAATTTTCGGTAGCGGACCATCAGGGGCTTCTTCGGACCGGCGCGCACGGCAGGGCCGGGCTCGGCACGGCACGCCAGAGCAGGAGAGAGACATGCGGCGGCGCAGGCGGCCGCCGTCGCGGGCGGGAGGCCTACCCGCGGCTGCGCGGGGGGCGCGGGTCGGCCGCGCGCTGCGCACGGCACGGGCGCGAGGGGGCGCTCGGCCCGGGGCGGGGGGGGGGGGCACCTGCGCGCGCCCCCCCACCCAAAAAATTGCTCCTCCTGGCATCGCTCGGACGTGTTCATTTTTCCTTCGGCGAGAGGACCATCGAGGAGCATCCTTGAGCACTTGGCGGAAAAAGCACGCGCGAAATCGACAAAAAGCACAGGGAATGGACGTCCGAGCGATGGCGAGTCCTTCCCCTCCCCCAGACCGCGGGGGTGGTCGCCTCTGGGGGGTCCACCGTGGGCGGGGGGAGGGTTTCGCCTTCCGCTGCGCTGGCGCGGACGGGGTGCAGTCCCCCCCCGCCCCCCGTACCTTCCAACATCGATCCCGACACCCGGCCCCTCCTCCTCCCTCCTCTCACGGCGCATGCAGAGGGCAGCGTCGACGCCCAGCAGTCGCCCGCCCGTCACCAGAGGCTTTCGCCCCACTGCACGGGAGCCATTTCTACACTCCCGAGTCGTCTTGGTCCAGATCGGCATCCGGACGCCGAGCGCGGCGAATTGTTTCGATCCTGGTCCTGTCCGATCAGTTGGGCGTCTGGAGTTGGCTCTTCCTCTTCCCGTTCCCGCTTTTCGTCTCCCTCTCGTTTCTCCCCTTCCTGCCCATATCCTTCCTCCTCCGCTGTGTGTGTTTCCATGCGTGCCAGATCCAGGGTCCAAATGGCACCCCCGCGCGTGGTCTTGGCAAGGCCCTCCTCCCCTTCCCCTCCTCCTCCTCCTCCTCCTCCTCCTCCTTCGAACATCTGTCCGTCGTTGTGGTTCGTTCGTTCGTTCGCTCTTCGTCCGCTCTCTCCGCGTGCCCGATCCCCCGAGGCGGCAGCCTCGAGGCGAGGGAAGGCCGAGCCCTGAGGCGCCCTCTTGGAGTCTTGCGGGCATCCCCCCCCCTGTCTGCCCTGCGAGTCGGCCCCCGAGTCGCCCCCCGCATCGACCCTCGCATCTGATGGGCATGTTTTTCACCACCACCACCACCACAGGTTGGAGGGGGGGAGGTGGAGGAGAAAAAGGAGGAGGAGGAGGAGGAAGAGGGAGAGGAAAAGGATGAGAAAGAGGAAGAGGGGGGGTAATAGCAGGAGGAGGAGGAGGGGAGGAGGAGGAGGAGGAGGGGGGGGAGGAGGAGGAGGAGAAGAGAGGAGGCGAGAGGACGAGAGAGGAGGAGGAGGAGGAGGTGGAGGAGGCGGAGGAGGAAGAGGAGGAGGAGGAGAGGACCCCCTCCCCTGCCTACTTGTGGTGGTGGCGGTGGAAAGCAAGCCCACCGGCATCGCCCCCTCCTCGCCGTCCGGCTTCGACAGCGGAGCGCCGTCGGCATACCGTCCGCCTGCGGCCGCCGCGCGGGGCTGGCCAGCCGAGGAGGGTGCGGCGGCTGCGGGAGCGGCGGGGCCCCTTTCGGAGCGTCTTGGCTGCCTCGGTGGTGCATCTTCGGAGCGTCATGGGAGCCTCCACCTCCTCCTACGTCCTCCCTCTTCGTGTGCCTCCCTATGTTCTCCTCCGCCTCTTCATCATCATCAGCAGCATCCTCATCATCAGCATCAGCATGATCACCATCATTGTCACCATCATCATCATCATCATCATCATCATCATCATCATCATCATCATCATCATCATCATCATCATCATCAGCAGCAGCAGCAGCAGCAGCAGCAGCAGCAGCATCAGCATCAGCATCAGCATCAGCAGCAGCAGCAGTTTCATCATCATCATCATCAGCATCATCATCATCTTGTGGCCACTTGGGGACCGTCCGCTCGGGAGGCCTCCTGGTGGCTCTCTCGGGGCTGTCCTAGGGCAGGAGCAGCAGGCTGAGGAGGGCGAGGCGGTCCGGGAGCAGGATGGGGTGGATCAGCAGAAGCAGCAGCAACAGAAGCAGCAGGGGGGGCGGAGCATGGGGGAGGGGGAGCTCGGGGGATCGGTGTACGATCGGAACGGGTGCGGGAAGAGTGGGTATGGAGACCAGCAGCAGTTGTTTGCCCATTTTGCGGAGGATTCGCTGTCGGCGTCGCCGCGGACGTTGCCCACTTAGGACAGAAGACCGCCTGCCCAACAGCGGCCGCTGTCGCTTTTGGACAACATGTGTTGGTGGACGTCGTACCCATTTGTTTCCGTGTGCCGATTTCGGGCGTTCACAGCCGCAGCAGGGGGAGGCGGTGCAGGGGGGGGGGAGCACAGGGGAGGAGCAGCTACCGATACCGAGACCGCTACCTTTGCTTCGTGTTTGCCCTCTCGGCCAGTGAGGCCCTCGTCGTCAGGGCTTGAGTCGCCTCGAGATGCTGGTCAGAACGCACACCTGTCTGGGGAGTTGCGATATGGGTATCTGCTTGATTGTCCAGGAGCAGGAGCATCGGCAGCAAGGGGACGCATTATGTGGACGCGTGGACCTCAGGTAGAAATCGCATCGGGGGCACGGCGGTGAGGAACCTGAGGATGAGGAGGATGATGATGAGGACGCCGAGCCAG